TTAGATCCTGGCCGTGAAAGCCTTCGCGAATAAATTGGCAACATTACTTGAAATTCATTAAAACAGCCAGTTAGCAGACACATAAAAATGTTTTTGACTGTTGTTATAATTTTTTTAACTTCCATACAACAAGGAACAAAATATTCACATAGCAATAAATTAAAATACCCTGAATAATTGGGTTTATGGCTCTTGGTCAACAGCTACTGCAACCTTGTTTCCAATTACAGCTGTGTCACACTTCTTACCTGAGGACTTCAGGTATCATCATTCTAGACCAGAGGCTCCCAACCTCAGATTCCCAGATGTTCTTGGACTCTCAGAAATCCTGGCCAACACAGCTAGTGGAGTTTTAGTCCAAGAATATCTGAGGACCCAAGGTTGGGAACCCCTGTTCGACACACTCACAGTTTATTAAGGCAAAGGGAATTAGTACAATGACTTTCTTGACTGTATTTATGTTTTAATAACATAGGACAATACCTGTCGACGGTATGTGATTTGGGTCTCTTGCTCAATTTCAGAGTCCAGCTCTGGAACATCAGATTGATCAGAATCTGATTCCTCACTATTAGAGTCAACCAGGCTTTCTGTGATTAAAAAAATAAATCAGAGTAAATATTAGAAACACTAAAATGAAAATAAAATCAATTAGAACTATCCTATGCATATACCTTACACAGTGGAAGTGAACAACAGATTTCAGGAACTAGATTTGGTGGACGGAGTGCCTGAAGAACTATGGATGGAGGCTCATAACATTGTATAGGAGGCATCAACAAAAACCATCCCAAAGAAAAGGAAATGCAAGAAAGCAAAGTGGCTGCCCAACGAGGCCTTACAAATAGCAGAGAAGAGAAGGGAAACAAAATGCAAGGGAGATAGGAAAAGTTACAGAAAATTGAATGCAGACTTCCAAAGAATAACAAGGAGAGAGAGGGCCTTCTTAAATTAACAATGCAAAAAAAGAGGAAAATAATAAAAAGGGAAAAATCAGAGATCTGTTCAAGAAAAGTGGAGATATTAAAGGAATATTTTGTGCAAAGATGGACATGATAAAGGAGAAAAATGGTAGGGACGTCACAGAAGCAGAGGACATCAAGAAAAGGTGGCAAGAATACACAGAGGAATTATATCAGAAAGATATGGATGTCCCGTACAACCCAGATAGTGTGGCTGCTGACCTTGAGCCAGACATCCTGGAGAGTGAAGTCAAGTGGACCTTAGAAAGCATGGCTTACAACAAGGCCAGTGGAGGTGATGGCATTCCAGTTGAACTATTTAAAATCTTAAAGGATGATGCTGTTAAGGTGCTACATTCAATATGGCAGCAAGTTTGGAAAACTCAGCAGCGGCCAGAGGATTGGAAAAGATCATCCCAATCCCACTACCTACATCCCAATCCCAAAGAAGGGCAGTGCCAAAGAAGGCTCCAACTACCGTACAATTGCACTCATTCCACACACTAGAAAGGTTATGCTCAAAATCCTCCAAGGTAGGCTTCAGCAGTATGTGGACTGAGAACTCCCAGAAATACAAGCTGGATTTAGAAGGGGCAGAGGAACTAGAGACCAAATTGCTAACATGTGCTGGATTATGGACAAAGCCAGAGAGCTCCAGAAAAACATCAGCCTTTGACTGTGTGGACCACAGTAAACTATGGCAAGTTCTTAAAGAAATGGAAGTGCCTGACCACCTTATCTATCCCCTAAGAAATCTATAAGTGGGACAGGAAGCAGCAGTTAGAACTGGGTATGGAACAACAGAATGGTTCAAAATTGGGAAAGGAGCACAACAAGGCTGTATATTGTATCCCTGCTTATTTAACTTACTGTATATGCAGAATACATGATGCAAAAGGCTGGACTGGAGGAATCCCAAACCGGAACTAAGATTGCCGGAAGAAATATCAATAACCTCAGATATGCAGATGATACCACTCTGATGGCAGAAAGTGAGGAGGAATTAAAGAACCTCGTAATGAGGGTGAAAGAGGAGAGCACAAAAATGGTCTTAAGCTCAACATAAAAAAAATCTAAGATAATGGCCACTAGTCCCATCACCTCCTGGCAAATAGAAGGGGAATATATGGAGGTAGTGGCAGATTTTACTTTCCTGGGCTCCATGATCACTGCAGATAGTGACATCAGCCACGAAATTAAAGGATGCCTGCTTCTTGGGAGGAAAGCAATGACAATCCTATATAGCATCTTAAAAAGCAGAGACATCATCTTGCCTACAAACCTCCTCATAGTCAAAGCTATGGTTTTTCCAGTAGTGATGTATGGAAGTGAAAGTTGGACTATAAAGAAGGCTGACCGCTGAAGATGCTTTTGAATTGTGGTGTTGGAAGAGACTCTTGAGAGTCCCCTGGACTGCAAGGAGAACAAATCTATCCATTCTGAAAGAAATCAACCCCGAGTGCTCACTAGAAGGACAGATCCTGAAGCTAAGGCTCCAATACTTTAGCTATCTCATGAGAAAAGAAGACTCCCTGGAAAAGACCCCTAAACAAGAACAATGCATATACCTATGAAACTGGAAGCCTTATTTTACTTATTCACATATACATGTGTATAGGACTGCAGTCACACAGGTAACAGCATCATGATGAAAACGAGTGAGTGTTGGCAGAGAATCTTACTGAAGTTGGCAACAGTAAACAATTCTTCACATACTGTACACTGAAAACCATATGAGGGTTGCAATTAGTCAGAAATAACTTGCTCTCTCTCTCAAGCACACAGACACACACACACTCAGAGCACCATCCTAAGGACAGTGGATCAAAAATGCCTCTGAGTTCAACTGGACTTACTTACTAACCAGAGGCTCTTTCATTGCTACACACCTAAACATAACAAGTTAGATAATGCACAACCCTCACATATTAAAACTATTACGGAAACCATTTGAGAGTCAGCAACATGAGATTTCACATTCAGCTGCATATCATTGATATGCCTTAGATTTGTTGTCCGGTTTCTCTTCTTCCATATTGAATATACATTCACAAGCTCTAATTCAGCAAGGACCATCTAGCTCCAACATCACAACACAGGATCAGAAATTCCATCAATTATAAGGACATTTAATCCAGTCATGTCCGACTCTAGGGCACAGTGCTCATCCCCGTCTCCAAGCTGTAGAGCCAGTGTTTGTCCATAGGCAGTTTCCATGGTCACGTGGCCAGCGTGACTAGACATGGAACGCAGTTATCTTTCCACTGTGGTGATACCTATTTATCTACTCGCATTTACATGCTTTCAAACTGCTAGGCTGGCAGGAACTGGGACAAGAGATGGGAGCTCACTCTGTCGCATGGATTCGATCTTACGACTGCTGGTCTTCTGACCTTGCAGCACAGAGGCTTCTGCGGTTTAACCCGCAGCAGCACCAAGTCCCTAATAAATTATTCTCCAATTCATGTTAAATAAGATGTTGCTCACTTACCTTGTGGCGCTATGTGAAGAGCATCCTTCAGCTTCCTTTCAGGAACAAATTTCCACTGGAAAACAGAATGGTCTGCCCCACCAATAGAAATCACCCACTGATAATCATGTGACCATCTGACATTAGTTACATGTGCTGAATGACCAAGATATTTTTTAAACTTTGCCCCTGTAAAAACAATTATATTTACAATTATATTTCAGTATCTTACAAAATTTTACTGTGTAATAGCTTCTATCAGTGGTGTCTTGAAAGTTCAAAAAGGTGTTGGCTTTAAATTGAGTGAATCCAAATTCTGCTGAAACTTACACACACATACACTCACTCAACTTCAGCTGTAGCCCCCTATGTACTCAACAACACTGTTCTTAAAAAGTTCCTTGACTTTTCAGGTTTCATAGGCAAATACAGTGAGATGGAAACAGCAGGAAAAGTACAATCATGTAAGTGAACCCCCAGTGTTTTAAGAGACTGAAAAATATATCAATATAATTTACTATTTTTTCTTATGCTACTACCCTGTTTCTCCGAAAATAAGACCTAACCTGAAAATAAGCTCTAGTATGATTTTTCCTACATAAGCCCTACCCAAAAAATAAGTCCCAGTTAAGTGAAACCCCGCTCTCCACCATTGTACAGCAACAAGAAGATGACATGACTGTATTTGAATAAATGTAGATTGTTGTACACACACAAAAAACCATCCCCTGAAAATAAGCCCTAGTGTATTTTTGGAGCAAAAATTAATATAAGACCCTGTCTTATTTTCGGGAAAATTCAGTATGTGAAATGAGCACCAAACTACCCAAACTAAGAATCTCTGTGTTATATTAATTGCTTTTCAGCTTTTATTTTAGACAGAAATCACAACTGGCCAAGGATTCTACACTTTCACATTCCTTTCCCCAGGTGGTCTTACTCCCCAACTTTGTGAGAAAGGGAAAATAATATCTGAACTGCCCCGGGTTTATTTGAGTTTATATTTAAAGAATACATTAAAAAGTTACCTCTTCTCAGACAGGGATACCTAAACAGTTTTACTATTCCATAGTCATCAGCTGTAACTAACACTTGGCCCATGAAGTTTGCATCTACAGCATTAATATCACTGATCTCTGAATATTTAGGCCATATTCCATTAACTTCAAGGCCTGAAACTGACGTCCATGAAGCCCACTGGACACCTTTTAACTCTTCCTTGTTTGTCACTTCTTTTCCACCTACATTAAAAAAAGGAAATAATAACCATTCACGCTATTCATAAGGACAATCACTGTATTTCTTCCTTTGATAAATTATGTGCATTTCCTGAGGTTTTCAGGACATAAAATGCTGCAGCATTTTAGCAACTGGTTATTTCATCAGTACAAGCCTGCTTCAGAGGATTGACAGAGCTGTGACTATAGTGTGGAGAAGGATAAATATAAATCACAAGCCTGACATGGCCACCACACTATTCTGAATGCAGCAATTTTGTCTAGTTTCAAAAGATGAACAAGATCACCCCCTGCCCCATACCTGGATGGGAGAGGACCTTGGGATACCAGGGATGATCAGACAAGGTTGGGAAAGAGCTCTGACTAAAATCCTGGGGAACCACTGTTGCCAGCCAGAGTTAACAATACTGGACTGATGGACCAAGCCTGACTCAGGACAAAGTAGCTTCCTGTGTTTTCCTACTCTTGGAAAGTTGGTATACATCTGCTATATATCCCAAAGAATCGATGGGGTTAATTCCAAGGCTACTAAACAAAGACTTAAAATGGAAGCTGTCATAGTAGCTTTTGCTGCTACCAGCCAATATGTTTAATTTATAAAACTAATTTTATAAAATAGAACTGTTTGAATAAATAAATTATAAAACCTTATTAATATTTTAGCCAGTTTCAAAACTTTCTTGCTCCTGTTATAGGATTTGAGAATTATCTGAGTAACTTTTGATTTTTTTCTCCTCTTCATTTAATATTTTGAAGAATGCTCAGCTTGATGGGTCAATCTTGAAAAGAAAAATTTGGAGGGAAATGACTAGCTACAATGACCAGATGTTTCTCTAAAGATTTGTTATAATATACTGTCATATGACAGACTTACTTCTTATTCTCAGGTATAATTGTGTGAAGGAGCTGAAGGCAGTGTGCCGTCCTCTGGTGGGAAAGAAGATGTAGAGGAAGGAGGATGTGTGGAAGGGGCATTAATAGAGTTGGATCAAACGGAGATAGTGACTGAAAAAGCTGCGGAGGTGTGTCTTGTGGAAGAAGGAGGGGAGGAGTTAGATTTAATTATGTGGGAGGAGATAAAGAAGGGAGAAAGCGCGCACGACTTCAGAACTTGGACTGATCTCAACCCAGACAAACCCAGGCATAGAGGGGTGCAAAAAGAACCCATTCTCGGCCAGACCCAAGGGACTGATGCGACTCCGGGATTCCCCAACCTAATGACAGGAGGAGGATTGCTCCGAGATCCATTAACTACAGGGGCTAGAGGCAGAGATATTGAGCCTCTAGAATGGAAGGTATCTGTTTTCCCCCTAAATTACCCTGGAGGCAGGCGGCGCGTGATTCGTCCTGGCCCGGAGTTTCAGAAGAGGCCTTTGGAGGGCGATTGGGCCCGCCACCCATGCTGCGGCACGGTGTGCGCAGTGAGGAGCGCACCCATAAGGCAGATGACGGATCGCGAGAAGTTTGGGCCAGCTCCCTATTAGGGGATCAGGATGTTCCTCCAATTGTTCGTCCTAAGAGATATAATCTGTTACCGGATCATCTGTTACAAGATCCTTTTGATTCACACGAGTTGGAAACTGTTTGTAATAAAAACGATGTTTATGAAAATTTAGATGAGCCTCCTAGTCTTTTTCCCGCCTTCACCACTAGCGCCACCCCCCGCCGGAGAAGGACCTTCTTACAAATTGCAATACAACTTATTATATATCTTACCAGGCATCCTGTAAAAAAGCCTTTTTCCACTGCCATCATTGGTCTGCACATGTTTACTGTCCAATGACCAGTCCATATGAGTTATGAAGCTGGAGGATCCCACACATTCCCCAACTTTTTTGTACCGCTGAACAACACCATAAATATCAACAGAGCTGTCATTGGAACCAACTGCAAGGAAATTTCCATCTGGTGAATATTTTAATTCATGAATAGCTTCCTTCCTATCTTTAATATGGACAACCTCTGTCATATCTCTGTAAAACAGAGAAAAAAAGAGTAACAGTTAGTTAAACCTACATTTCAAACATTTAATTTTGCTGTCCATCTCACCACACGCTGTCCTTTTTCTTAAATGCAATTCTTTAAAAAAACCCAGCTCATGAATGTGCTCTTGTATTCACAATTCAAAATCCCAAGAAATGGCCCAATATTACTGCAGAATATTGTGCCTGTATTGCCAGCAGAAGAATGCCAAATTTTACATAGCACAGGGAAGACTGAATGCTGATAACACCCATGTCAGCAGTCAAGATGATTTACAACACAATAACATAATAGACAATAATTTAGAAAGACTGAACATAAGCTATATGAAAATCAAAATTAAACATCAGCATACATACACAAAAAAGAACATAAAATTAACTAGAAGTAAGAAAGGCCAAAAAATGGTTTTTCCAGTAGTGATGTATGGAAGTGAGAGCTGGACCATAAAGAGGGCTGACCACCGAAGAATTGATGCTTTTGAGTTGTGGTGCAGGAGGAGACTCTTGAGAGCCCCTGGACTGCAAAGAGAACAAACCTATCCATTTTGAAAGAAATCAACTCTGAGTGCTCACTGGAAGGACAGATCCTGAAGCTGAGGCTCCAATACTTTGGCCATCTCATGAGAAGAGAAGACTCCCTGGAAAAGACCCTGATGTTGGGAAATTGTAAAGGCAAGAGGAGAAGGGGACGTCAGAAGACGAGATGGTTGGACAATGTCATTGAAGTTACCAACATGACTTTGACCGAACTCCGGGAGGCAGTGGAAGACAGGAGGGCCTGGCGTGCTCTGGTCCATGGGGTCATGAAGAGTCAGACACGACTTAACGACTGAACAACAAAAACAAAAGCAAGATGGTGGAACTGATCATATGAACCGCCCAAAGTGGCCTTGGTAGCCAGATGGGAGGTATAAAAGTCAAATAATTAAATAAATAAAATTAGCTAATGAAAAAGTAATCAGGCTCTGAGATTTTCCTGTTTAGTATCTCTTTGTGAATGGTACTGCGTACAAGAGGGTATCCTGTAGACAATCTTGACTGCTGACATGGGTGTTATCAACATTCACTTCTATTAAATGAAGCTTCATTTCTATCAAACAAAGAAACATCCTTCCCTTCTGCATACATGAAGTGAAATATTTTATTCAAAGCTGAGGCACCTACAAACTAATACAATATTCCCATTTATGGTCATGTGAAAAAGAAAGTACACCCTCTTTGAATTCTATGGTTTCACGTATCAATAAAAATCATCTGGTCCTTAGCAGGTCTGAAAATTAGGTAAATACATTCTCAGATAAACAACAATAAATTATATATTACACTGTGTCATGATTTAGTTTACAAAAATAAAGCCAAAATGGAGAAGCCAGCCCTCATTGTGCAGACCTCTCAACCTATTAAACAGAACCATAAAAATCACTTCCTTGCAAAAATGCCAAATATAGTATATGCAAAGTTTCACAAATAACACATTACAAATCAGGCAAATGGAAAGTTGTATAAGATAATGAAGCCATGAGGATGTCCAACAGTGGAAAGGATATTGCTATTCATTGTAGAAATCAACTTTTAAGGAAAAGTTTACTTCTACTTAAAAGTCTTTAAGGTGCAACATACCTAACTCGAAGTACCGTAAAAGAACCATCTTTCATTCCAAGTGCAAGATGAATTCCATCAGTACTAACAGCTGCACAACGAATTGGTTCTTCCATATTGCACCGTGCAATCAATGCATGGTCTATAAGGCTCCATATTCTGTAAAATATTCAGTATGAATAATACAAAATTATTAATATTGTGCAGCACAAAAATGTAATAGTAGTAGTTTTTCCTCTCTCTTAAGAAATACCCAGAGGAAGAACACAACTTAGCTGCTACATCCTGGACAGGTTCAACAGCCAGGATCAATATCCATGGGAAATTTACATGCCTCCAACATATCGCTAAGAAGTACACAGTGCAACAAGCAGTAAAACAAAGTGGCCATTTAACCAATTTCACAAAGTTTGTGAAGGTAAATTTTCATTTCGCAGACAATTAACAATTTATTTACTTTAACATTAGGTGAGTCTACAAAAACTTCTATTGGTTCAAAACAACTAAGATCTGGTAACTGTTCAAATTGTGAGGACGATAACCCCGTCTGGAAATTGACAGGATTCATTGAGGGGCTGGTCCAAAACGTTCCCAATCGGTGGGCTTCCTCAGTGGGGCACTCCGGACCGCACATATTGTCCCACAACAAGGGTGTCTGGCTCAGTCTCCCTCCGGTGGTAGAGGGTTGAAGGGAGGGTCTGGCCAAATCACCTTCCTCGAGTGACCTTGTCCCTGCGGAAAGATCACGCTGTCCATTCTAGAGCTTCTGCCAATGTCCCCTTTTCTTTAGACTTGTCCGGGTCAGGTAGCAACCCTCCTTTTAGGGAATTAGGGAAGTCCTCCGACAACCCACACATTCTATCATATTCGTATTCTCTTTTCTCACCCCTCTTTTCCTCCCCTTCCGCCTTTCTCTCCCTCCTTGGTACACTGGACTGCCTCCTCCCACTTTGCTCCCCGATATCCTCCTCTCACACGGGCAAAATTAACTCCTCCTTCCCTTCTCCCTCTCTCTCTTCCACTAGAAAGATTTCAATCTTCTCCTCTTTCCTCTTTGATTCCGTTCCTCCACATTCAACTCTTCACTTTCCATTGTCTTCCCTACTTCTATATCTGTCTATTGCTCAGACGTGTCTAGCTGAGGGGACGGTTCACTCTGTTCTTTCTCCTTTGGGTCTACCGCTCCCACACAACTGGATTGTCAGGTGTGTGCAACCATATCCCACAGAGAAATGTATATTCGCGATTTGTAAAATATATACATTGTAGACATTTTTCTGTTTTGTAATTTTTTGTATTTTATCCTACCAAACAAAGCATTTTTTGAATGTGTATAATTTTTGTGAACAGTTTTTTATTCTATGAAACCTATCACAAGCCACAGAACTGTATAGGACTTCCCGGGCAAGATAAACCCCCGTCCACTAGCAGTGTCATAAATGAAGAAATTTGTTCAGTAAAATGCATACTCAACAACTTTCTTTTCAATCCCTATTACTCACCTTGCCACATACTCTGAAACTCAGCCTGGCCATGTGATATTAGTAACATTGTAATATCAATATACTTATTTAACTTGTCGAAAAGCCTATTGTGTATTTTACTGTACATGGTCATGCATCTTTTGAGAATCCATAGGAACTTGCCTGACTGATCGATCATCACTTCCCGTCATGGCTAATGGTTTTGTGGGATGAACTGCCAAGGCCCAAAGCTCTCCTTCACAGTGCCCTTGCATAATAAGAAAAGGCTTATTGCGTTCATGCACCACAATTTCAAAAATTTCACTATCTTGTGTTCCAACTAGAATGTGATCTCCTCTCCAGCAAACACTTCTCACAGAGAGACCTATGAAAAGTAAATATACATTCAAACATCCACTTAGACCTTCAGCCCATGTTTAGACAATAAATCACACAAACATAAAATGAGAACACATACAGTCTTAAGTACAAGTGGTGCCCCGCATAGCGACGTTAATCCGTTCCGGATAAATCGTCGCTATCCGGAAACATTGCTATGCGGGGGGGGGACCCCATAGGAACGCATTAAACTCTGTTTAATGCGTTCCTATGGGGACAAAACTCACTGCTATGTGAAGATTCCCCATCCGGCCGCCATTTTCGCAGCCTCGGTAAGTGAGGGCAGGGCGCGAAAATGGAGCGGGCAGCCATTTTCTTCTTCTGACAGCCATTTTGGAATTGCTGATCAGCTGTTCTGCAAACATCGCAACGCGATGTTTTGCCACCTAAAACATCGCAATGCGATCGCATTAGCGATCACAAAAAACGTGTCGCTATGCGGATTCATCGTTAAACGGTGCGCTCGTTAAGCGAGGCACCACTGTAGTAATAAGTTCGTTAAATAATACCCATGTGTACAGAGAATTTGATTTAAGATGTTTAGGTTTTCATTACCCTGCACTTTGTTCAGAAGAGCAAAGAAAATAAACTGTCCCTGCCTCTTTTATCACACCTTTAGCTATCTTTGCTATCTTCTGAGGAAAAATCATTTGCTGTTTATTCTAGCAAACCTTCAAATCTAGACCCAACTACTTGGGTGTATATGGCTTTGTACAGTGGCAGTTTCCTTTCCTTTTTCAACATGGATAAGATGCAAAATGAGTGAAGATCATGACACTCTGCACAGCTGCATAGTGCAATCAGCTGAACTCAGTGGGACTTCATTCAGAGTATAAATGCCTAGAATGGGCAGTAATTAAATCTCAGTAAGTGTATCTCTCTGCCTTTCTCCTGGCCGTTCCCTTTCTGACACATGGCAGTTTCACAACAAGCTGCTACTGACACAAGATCAATATACAAGATAAGAACAAGTTTATCTATTAACTGGGGTTCTTCAAATGATTATCTGTGAACTTGTGTTCTTCATTATGGTCTCTTTGATATACACAAATGGACCTCACACCTCTGCAGAGCCACTTTTAAAATCCTATCAAGTTCAGCAGCTGTTGATGAGAACTCTGCCCACTCCCCTAATGGGGATGTCTAGGCCTTCTACTTCTATTTCAAGTGAGACTGCCTATGAGAAAGTAGTCATAAGCCTAATGGACTATGGGAAGATGGACAGATTGTATGAGTTCACATATGACCACTCAAAGAACTACAGACACAGACAAGCAACCAGTTCTTCTTTGTCATGATCTCTGTAAATCTGGATAACACACTTATCTCAGAATACAACACCCCAAGACAGAAACAAAAAAAGCATGCCAAAAGGCAGTATTCTCTCAATTCTCTCAAGCTGACACACGTAGTTAATAATTTGCTTTTGTTTAGTCGTTAAGTCATGTCCGACTCTTCATGACCCCATGGACCAAAGCACATCAGACCCTCCTGTCTTCCACTGGCTCCCGGAGTTGGGTCAAATTCATGTTGGTAGCTTCTATGACACTGTCCATCCCTCTCGTCCTCTGTCATCCCCTTCTCCTCTTGCCTTCACACTTTCCCAACATCAAGGTCTTTTCCAGTTAATAATAAAATAAAATAAAAACCAATAAAAACAGGCAGGACCATACAGGTGCATGGCATATATTTGGCAGAGAAACTCATGAAAGAAATACAGCAGAGAAGCCCACTATTCTAATGAAATGGCTGTAAATCATTTCAAGAACAAAGTGCCTGAGCTAACAGGCAAGCTAAGATAATAGCAGCGATAATCCACCCCACCAACCATTGGGTTGATAATGGATTTCGTTTCTTGCAACACTGGTAAGGAAAAAAATATAAGAGTTTAAGAAACTACCAAAAGGGATGAATTCTGACAATACAGAAGGCTAAGGCTCAAGAGATATTGAGAGCTGTCCAGCAACACTGAGGATGAGCAAAGAAAGTATCCTGATTAATATGAATATAGGATAAAAGTAAAATCAAGCTGATTTTATCCTTATGAAATATAATGCAAGATGGTTCCAAGTACAAACTATATAGGTCAGAGATTCTAAAAGCCCACAGAAGTCATACTAGAAATGGAAAAAATAAGAGTTGCATGAAAATAACTTATAAGATTTATGCTTTTGAATTGTGGTACTGGAGGAGGTTCTTGAGAGTCCCTTGGACTGCAAAGAGAACAAACCTATCCATTTTGAAGGAAATCAACCCTGAGTGCTCACTGAAAGGACAGATCCTGAAGTTGAGGCTCCAATACTTTGGCCATCTCTTGAGAAGAGAATACTTCCTGGAAAAGACCCTGATGTTGGGAAAGAGTGAAAGCAAGAGAAGGGACGACAGATGGCTGGACAGTGTCATCGAAGCTACCAACATGAATTTGACCCAACTCCGGGAGGCAGTGGAAGACAGGAGGGCCTGGCGTGCTCTAGTCCACTGGTTCTTAACCTTGGGTTACACAGGAGTTTTGGACTGCACCTCCCAGAAGCCTTCACCACCAACTGTGCTGGCTGGGGTTTCTGGGAGTTGCAGTTCAAAAACATCCGAGTAACAAAGGTTAAGAACCACTGCTCTAGTCCATGGGATCACGAAGAGTCAGACACAATTTAACGACTAAATAACATCAAAAATTTATAAGAGCCATAAACGCAGGAGTATGTGATACCTTTTACTGCAACACTAAAAATAAATCAAATAGCAAGCTTTTGTAGATAAAATCCACTTCCTAAGGCTCTAAGCACACCCATGGATGGTACAAAAATTATCCAGAAATTGATTTTACATATCTGAAAGATGGTAAGTTCTTCATGTGAGGCTGGGCCTCTTACTCTTTCTGTAGCAAGATTTGGAATTTTTATACTTTGGTTCTTGAGACCAAAACGCTGTGAATTATTCTGTGATCATCCCCCAACACACACTCCCACTGCTTGCTTGAAATAAAGTTTCCTTTTGCTGTGTGGGCAAGGAAAGATAACATAAAGGCAACAGCAGCATTGAGCACAAGTAAGGGCCCACAATTTGGTTCATTCACCAATTTGGTTCTTTCCCTTCCAACCTATTGATGAAGATTCATTGTTTTGCAGCAAACAGAATGGAACTGAGTGGAAAGCACATCAGGAGAATGGGGGTGTAGATGCAAAACCTGTGTAGGTGCAAAACCTATTTGTGCGTTTCAAAGAGACCACAATAAAGAATATATTTTATAAAAAATACTTCTGGAGCTGTGTTACATTGATCCATTGATAACAGATACAATTTCTCATAGAGGTTTTTCCCAACAAGTTATTGCAGGAGAGACATCGAACTGGAAAAAATGAAAGGGTAACCATAGAACACTCTTTACATAAAATAAATATTCTCTTTTTGGGCTATCTCTCCCCAAATATAGAACCGTATATGAATACCAGTCTTCAGATGATACTGCCAGAATATGATCAAACAAACTGTGAGGAATGGTACCCATTTGCTGAAGCAGTGATTAATCGTCGCTATGTGGAAACATGGCTAAACGGAACGGAAAAACCCATAGGAGCGCATTAAACTTTGTTTAATGCGTTCCTATGGGGCCCAAACTCACCGTTCAGCGAAGATCCTCCATAGCACCGCCATTTTCACACCCTCGGTAAGCGAGGAAACCGCGCGAAAATGGTTGTGGCGGCCATTTTGGGCACCCGGTGGCCATTTTGGAACCGCCAATCAGCTGTTTAAAAAACATCGCAATGCAATGTTTTGCCCATTAAAACATCGCAATGCGATCGCATTAGCGATCTAAAAAAATAGATCGCTATGTGGATTCGTCGTTAAACGGTGCGCTCGTTATGCGAGGCACCACTGTATCTAATTCTTAAATTTGAAACTGGGACCATACTGAGTAAACAAACCCAGCCAAACTTTTAAGAATTAAAGCTGTGCTTGTTCGTTTGCACGTGCCTACTCACATATGAGTGAAAAACAAATGTAAGAACAACTCTGATTTAATGTCATAGATGTGGGTCCTGATGGCAATTTTTAGAGTATGTATTTTAATTGTATTTTAATCGTTTTAGCTTTTGATGTATTTTAATTGTATTTTCAATAACAATAACAATAACAACAACAATATGGAGCGGTATTACATAATCATTAAATAAAGAACTGACTCAAAGTGTTTGCATTACAAAAGAAGGTAAAGATATGACAAAACAGACTAGCACCAAGATATGAGAAACTCAGAACTGTGTATGGAGGCTGTATACTGGTACTAATTAGTGTTTATTACTACCCCGCAATGGAAAAACCTAGCAGTGTTTTGCTTGTCAAGTGTGTTCAATATATGCAAAACATAAGCCAGATCCATTTTCCTTTTGATTATCTATCATACGAAAAAAATCTCTCTATCATCAAAAAAAAACCCCCTAGTACAATGTTCATCAGACCTAAATTTAAAACTGCATTAATGTCAGCTGTAACTTCTTTACAGTTGCTATCAAATGAATAATCATTAAGTGTTCAGAGCCAAAGCATAGCAAACCAAACCTGTCTCAACAACTACTATCTGAGAGGTGGGTAACATGTGGGCCGCATGTAGCCAACTAACACTTCCCAAAATATTTTTTTCTTTTGACCACTAGATGGTAGAAGGGGTCTTCTGCAGTAAAAAAAGCAAAATAAGACAATTTCTGTAAGGAGAAAATACAGTGGCCACTGGTCATGGGAACAGCTCTACAAGGTTCTAGGATGGGAATGTGCAATTTTCAGATCTCTGGAGATTGCCCATACCTGTACTACACAAATGGAATCTGGCACCTAGTCACAATGTTGCCAGATGCAATTGTTCAACAGAGCAAAGCTTTAATTCTGCTCACCATACCCACACATCTATTAGGGTCTCCTGTTCAGAAAAACAGCAAGAGAAACACATGGTGGTGCTACTCTAGATACTTTAGGAGACAGTGCTAGGACCCATCTTGTCCATTATTATTGTGAGAATGAAGACCCTGTGACACAAATACTTCATAATGTAGATACACTATTTTTCTTCCATTGCCTTACTGCCCCTCATCTCCAAGCAGTGAGGCCTAACCCCTTAGACACACAGCAATCTGCCTGCACACAAGGCAAGAGAATTATCTTTATTTTTTAGTGTGACTCCTAAAAAACATATCCCTTTGGTAACATTATTCAAACAGGGTTTTTTACCTTTATATCCCTGGTCTGTTTCCCTGAGATCAATCACAGTAATAGGTTTAAAACTTAAATCCCAAAGGCGAACACAGCCATCCCTGCCACCAGTGGCAAAGCCTTCTTCACAAGCATTCATGCTGAAAATTCCTGCCTAAAGAGGAACAAACAATATATTTAACTCCGTATACAACTCGCAGTAATGATTATGTAAGGCAAAATCTTTAACCTTTTTGTCATGCTTCTAAGGTATTATATTTAGTCAAATAACACTGTTTCATTTTAAATTGAAAATAGCAATTTTTGATCAGCTTTTCTTTTTTTTAAATGACTATGAATGTTACTGTACCACACAACTGTAAAATGCCTGTGGCAGTGAAATAAGAAATACTGCTCAGCCATTCTAACATTTTTTTTCTCCTTGTAATCACAGCGACTGGCTAGAGAGACTAATCAGAAACCTACTAACACAAATGCATGAGTGCACTACATATTGCCAAACAAAGATTTTTCTGTCTGTGCTAGTAGTAATCTGGGCATTGCAAAGTCAATTTAAAACTTCAGTTTCAAACTGCTTCCCAGAGAGGGATGTAAAATTTCTGAAAATTGCCATTTTTCCAGGAAAAAATGGGAAAAATATCTTTTTTTCAAAAAAATGGTATTTTCGAAAATTTTACATCTCTATTCCCGATGTGAGGAAAAAACTGCTTACTAATAAGGGCTGCATTTTTCACCCTACCTAGCCATGACTCCTTCTTATAGAGCTCTATAAACTACTACAATCTTGAAGAAAGCAAATGAAGAAATGCTGCCAAAGTGCCATGAGGAGATGCTCTAGGATGATCAGAGACTGAGAGAAAGGCTCAACCAAAATTGTTGTTGTCATGTGCCATCTTATTGAACAGGAGGTTGGACTAGGACTAGATGGCCTTATAGGCCCCTTCCAACTCGGTTATTCTATGATACCAGTTTATGGTGACCTTATGAATTAATGACCACCAAGAGGTTCTATCACCAACAGCCCTGCTCAGTTCTTACAAACTCAAGGATGTTTCCTTTGTAGAGTCAATCCATCTCTTACTTTGTCTTCATCTTTTCTTGCTACCTTCAACTTTGCACAGCACTATTAACTTTTCCAGTGATATTGTCTTCTCATGATGTTCCCAACATACAATAGCCTGTTTAATAGTTTTCGCTTCTAGCTCTTCAACCAAAATGACACAGAAGTATAAGCCAACTACTGACCTCCCTAATCCCTACCCTCCACTCTGCCTTAGTGTTAGAGGAGGGTTCTGATCTCTTGAATATCAAATGCCACAAGACCAGCAGCCCACTTCCCAAAAATAGTTATTTCTATTCTACTAATACATATTCTACTACTGTAATATGAAAACAACAATAAAAACTCAGATAGCTGGAGAAGACTCCACTGTAATACAGGCAGGACCCACAGATTCTTTTTACTACTGCCAGATGGAACTCAGAATCTCTCCAGCTATGGCCAAGACAAGACAGCTCCCAACCCCTTCAAAAAGCATACAACTGGGGTAGGGGTGGGCACATTTTTTGTGATGATCATATATGAAGATAGGCCCAACTTTGTGTTTCTCTGGTGTAAGACTTAAATCTACGCATATTCTTGCAAGAACTGAAGAAGAGATCTTTTTGTTCTAGATAACAGATGGGCAAAAAAGACTGCTCAAAAATAGGAGCCATGTTGTTTTTGTATTTCAGAATAACATGGCTATCTCTGAAAAGCTAATTATGACTATCTACAGTCATTCAGGCCAAATAGGACAGAAAAAGTGCAACATAATATGGAAGATGAACCCAGAATATTGGTATATCTAATAGTAAAATATCTCACTTGATGAGCTTTACCAGGTAAACTTTCAACTTTTTATTATCCAAATCGATCACACACAATTTGATATTTGCAGAAAACATTATTTTTCATTCCTGCAATCATGCTCCGATAACAGTTTGATTAAAGCAGACCTGTGCACAGAAAGTGAAAAATGTTCTTCCCTCAGTTCTACCCCACAATCTTTTAATGATTGATTTGTACTTGGAAACAGACAGAGGAAAACAATGGGCTGTGTTGTGTTGGCTCACAAGACTGTTAAAACACTTGGTTAAATTTGCTATATTGTTTCTACTTATATTTAATTAAAACTTGGCCAAGCAACATGATGGTATTTTATACAGGATGCCTGTTACCTGACCTTAGCATTGGCTTGAATCCACACAACTTGAACATTCACTTCTGTTAAAGAATACTTAAATAAATTATTCAGTTAGTAAGAAGGTGTACTATATACATTTCTCATGTAAAGTCCTACAGTAATCATAATCATGTGAAACAAGGAGCCATTACTACCTGATTATATTTTCTCGTATTATATTTTCTCATATAATTTCAGGAGGAAGGAAAGGAGGTGGAAGTCCCGTTACCCAAACAAAAATCCATTAATTAAATGAGCAATTTTATCTATTGAAAGCTTACAAATAAATACAGTATATCTTCTGATAAGCAACTATAGAGAAACCCCATGAAAAATCTAAGCATGAGTATGAATCATATTTACGCAGATAATTTATCACAGATAATTTGAAGAAATTGCAAGCTGAAGAATAGTTTCACAGTAGCATGGCACAGCTGTTTCACTAGAACAGTACATGTTAGCCCAAACTGTTGAAGAAATCAAATGTCCCTCTTGCACACTCCCAAGCTTTTACAAGGAGTAGGTTAAATTAGGATGTCTTGATCTATGGTGACACCAACATACAGTAAAACTGCAACATGACATCTCCTAATATCTTGTTATTATTAATTGAATAGATATCCTTGTTGCAAAATCGTCAGAATGTCAATCAATCAGAAATCCATTCGTTTCAAAAGGATACTTACAGCATGTGCTCCCTGTATGGTTCTCACAAGGTTGACTCCTTTCCATACATATATGTCTCCATTAAGTGCACCAGAATATGTAACTTCATCTCTTGCACAGGCGAGGCACAATATAGTTTGGAGATCACCAGTCTTACCAAAAACACCACGCTTTGGTGTCAATGAATTGCCACATAACGTCCAGAACTGCAAAAGTTAAAGCAACTCAAAGTTTTATAAGGAATGCTCTGCCTTCAACTTAGAAAAAGCTAGGGCATGCTGCCTAGACTAGCAGCAGCAGTTCTGCGTACTCATATCTAGACACTCCGGGCGGAGGAGTGGGGGGTTTGACATATGTCAAAATTGATTTGATGGTGAGAAAGAGGAGGATTAATGACTGAACATAATGTTCAAAATATAAGAGCCAAGGACAAGAGGTGTTCAAATTTTTGTTTGAATTTTATATAATCTGATAAAGAATCTGGTAAGACAGTGCTGGCTGGTAAGACAGCTGGTTTTCTGACTGTGGAGCCAGAGGTTAAGAGTTCAGCACCCCACTGTACATCCTAGAAGAGCCAGTCTGTGTAGCCTTGAGAAATTTGCATAATTCCAGGATGCCCCCAGAACTACTTCTCTGTATTATCTAACTAGAAAACCCTAGAAAGGGTTACAATAAGTCAGAATTTGGCAATCTATTAAAGACAGTACCATTTAGAAGTAGTATAGATAGTACCATTTAGATTTATTAGTTTAAAGAATCGTGTTTATTCTGACAGGGATTTAAAATTCTAGTCTTTAATGAAGAGGTCACACAACACCATGTTTAATATATGTAATTGGGTTTTTTGTTTTGTTTTATATGTTGAATTACTGAAAAAACAGCCTTTCTATATTTCAATACAGATGGTAGAAAGCAATGAAGTTACCATGGAAACAATTAAACTATGTATTAAAATGCCCTAAAAATATATATATGAAAAACATTCAATCCCATTTTTACAAATTCATAAGGCATAATCTGTCCTCCCAAGCAGAAATATAAAACAAGATAGGAAAAACAGTACAAGCTATTCCTGAATTCAGCTAAACAGAATTTACTAAGAAAAAAAAATACTGCTTTTCTTTTCAACAGCAATTCAAAAATAGTACAAATCTACAACAAAATCATTCACAGACAAAGCTCCCGCTAAGAAACAGAAGCTATTTACCAAGAATTTATAATTTTTAAAAAAAAATAAGTTAACATGTTAACTTCTACTCAGTAAGAATACACCACGGTGCTACAGCCAGAATCCTTAGAAAATAAATCAGGATCAATGTTTTGGGTTTGATGGTTTATTTTGTTAAAATTACATGGGTTTTTTAAAAAACACCTTAACTGAACTTACAAGAAGAATACAATTGTAAATACTCATTTTCTCTTACCTTGGTTAATATTACATAATCGGAAAAATGTGGATAACCAGTAAAGCTACCCATTAAGCAATATATTCTGTAATACGTTGCAAGAAAATAATGGTTGAGAAACTACTATATATTTTAGATCCCCATCTCTACCTGTGGAGAAACAACACTGAAGCAATCATTACTACTAATTCTTATGATCAACTGCCTCCCTCTTTATCTATGAACATATTTTCTTTTTTTGTATTGGAAAAAGAAAAACCTTCCTCTATGCCAAGAGAGGGCAAATGCAATAATATTTCTATGCATGCACAGAAACAGGTAGGCAAGCATTTGCTCAGAGAAGGCCTCAGAAGCAAACATGAAAACACACATACAAACATAGAGGTAACAAAAAGGGAGTTAATTTTTGTTTTTGTTTTGCTTTAAAGTTAGGGAAACTAGCAATGAGGGCCTTCATCTTCATCAGAACTGTCTTAACTGGAGGGTTAATTCTTAAAATTAATTTTTCACTTAAGTTTCTTTGCATTAAAACCTGTTCAGAAAGGGCAATGACCTCTGACACTGCATCTATCTGTCTAAGCACAAAGGATATAACAAGGGTCTCTGTATTATATTGTCCAATTGCCTGGCCTGTTCTTAACAGTCAACACAGGATGTGACTTCTACTTTAACTAGAAGAAAGATGAAGCCTGTCACTAATAGATTTCCTGATTTCAAGGCTAAAAAAACCCTGAACCGTCATTCACGTCAAAATGATGAAATTCGCCTATAGTAATGTGCCCTGCTGTCTTTTTTCATCAGCTAGCACTAGCATTTTCAGGGGAGGGGGCACAGGGTAGGAAACATTTGCCAGGATAGATCGCTATCATTGTTCCATTATAATGCAGGTTCATTCAAGTTGCAGGAGTTCAGAAGAAATGCTCTCTTATTAATTGGAGGTCTACAGCATTAACCATTCATTACCATTTTGTATCTTGACTGCCACTATTAGAAAAAGGCAAAAGAGTTAAGGATTAGATGCAACTAGGCTAAGTGGGATTTTTTTGTTGCTGACTACAGTCCAGAAGTGGTCAGTGATCCTTCCTGACCTCAATTACTCTCTTTGGTACTCAACTTTCAAGAACATTATCTCTAGACAAGATACATGTTATCCAATAGTTCCTTCTAGCTGCACATGTGTTTCCAGTTTTTTTATATCTTGATTAACCAAAATACTATATTTTGGCTACTTTAGGAGGGCAAAGGTTTTAAAGAATTGTTGGGGTAGGAATATTATACATTTCAAAATTCTCCAGAGTCTGCTGAGCTAATTGTTCTCAGCACTTCAAGCTATGTGAGTGGGGTATGAGCTCTGTATATGGACATGTGGAACCACAAGAGATAGTGGTTTAAACTGAAATAAATAAGTATTTGAAACATGTTTTGTCTAATATAGGAAATAGTTTCCTCTTTCTTCTCTTTAACTTCAACTTCATTGAATCAACCGTCTTTCTTTAAGTACCCCGCTATCCCAATCTAGGTGTCTCACTCAGAAAGCCAAGCAGTTGCATGGTTTTTGGTGTGGTGTTGAAACTGAAATTGCACTGATTATTTTTCCTGTAGAAGAAACAGAAAGAAACTTTCGTGTCAATGTCTCTCAATAGCTTCCAATAAGGGTACTGTACATATGCATCCTTCTGACTTCCTAATCTAGAACTGGGGTGCTATTGAAAATTGGCTTCATTCCTATTTATTAGGCAGGTTCCAGAAGGCAGTAATAGGTGACGCTCCTCCCCACCATGGCCTTCAGTTTACAATGCACCATAAGGTTCCATCAAAGTCTTCCAATTTTTTCACATCTACATAAAGCCTCTGGGAAGGATAGCATGAACATTTGATACAGATATAATCAATTCATAGGTGGACCTGTCTTACTATATGTCTGTTTGTCTCTCCTTTTGCCAATATTAAGAGTCTGTGGGAGATTCTTACGTCTCAATAGTATCTGGAAGTTTTAGACTTGATGAGAATGAATAAACTGAAACATACTTCAGACAAGGCAAGAATATTACTCCTGAGGGGGGGAGGGCATCTTGAATTTGAGTTTCGGCCTGCTCTGGGTGGGTTGCTGCTCACAATCTGGGAGTACTTCTTGCAATTTGATCACCAGGAAATAATGGTGGTCAGGAATACTTTTAACTAACAGTGTCTCATGGAACCGAGACCTTTCTTGAAGAATTCAGACTTGATTTTCAACATTCAAGTACTTGTTACCTCCATATTAGATTAATAGAATGCACTTTCTTATCCTGTTGCCCTTGAAAGCAATGTAGAAGCACCAGTTGCTTCAGAACACTGCTGCACGTACTCTGACAACATGGTTCTGATCACATTCCACACATCACCTAACATCTTCACTGGTTATCATGCTCAATGCAATGTTTTGACATTGACCTTTAAAGCTTTGAAAACTAAAATACCTCAGAAATGGCATCTCATGATGATTTTTTTGACATAACAGATCTTAGATCTCCCATCATCTGCTTAGGTCAACAGCTTCTTTTATAACTGGCCAAAAGTTGTTCAAGCAGAATATATGAAAGATTTCCCCAAATATAATGAGGAATTGTGAAATTGTACACTGTACTTTGTGCATATGCTTCTCTTTTGTAAATCAGATAAAGAGGCAACATGAGAGCTGCAAATATTTACTAGGAACCTGCAATGCGTATAATAACATATTGAAATTACAGGATGGTATTTGAGTGAACAAAATTGCTATTCAGCTTATATAGTTGTTTAAATACAAAACCATCTTCTTACCTTAATATGTTTTACACCACAGCTGACGAGTTTGTTTGGTTGGTACAAGTCCCACGAAATATCAAATATCTGTAGAATGGGAAAGAAATCCAAGAATTAAAAAACAACACTTTTTTCAATTAATCAGAAAACTGTGGTTCAAATCCTGTTGCTTAGCAGCAAGCTGCACTAGAGTAGGCCCATGTCAATCACTAAATTCTCAGTAATTCAATAGCCCTACTCTAGTGTTATTTACTATTCTAAGCAACATGGTAAAGTCACAAATTTGCAATAAAGAACAGAAAAATCCCATATCTTCTGATACAAAGAAAGCACAAAGATTAACTAGAAATGTTTTAGCCTACTTTAACTTTCTTAGGCTGATATAATAAGCAGTAGAAATATGTACAGACTTGTCATGCACATAATAACAACTCACAACGGTACAACAAACATCAACTTAACTTTACAGCTTTAGACATATAACATAGTACCTCTAACAAATGTTGGAAATGCAAATCAAAAGAGGTGGTGGACTTGTAGGGAAGCTAAGACCTTTTGGAAACTAGTCGTTGAGTTTTTACAAAAAATGTTATCTTCTATAATTCCATATGAACCTGAATTGTTTTTGTTGAATATAATACCAGACTCAATAGAAAAAGAAAAAAGATATTTGATCATACATGTAACTACAGCAGCAAGAATTTATATGCCAAACACTGGGAAAAAGAGGAGACTCCAACAACCCAGGAGTTAATAGAAAAAAATCTTGAAGGAGCAGAAATGGATATTTTAACTGAAGTATTAAAAGATAAAGAAATTGCTGAGGCTAGAAAAAGTGGGAAACTTTGTATAAATGGATGAGATATGAGAACATGAATGGGTTAAAATTATGAGAAATACAAGATACAACTTTAAATTGATAAATGTGGAGTAAGCTTAGTAAGAAACATATTGACAAATATAATAATGGTATATATTGTTCTCTATCACATTCTGTATTTTTATTTACCCAAATACTCTGATCTTCCCTTACCCAATGAAAATCTTCCTTATTATCGTAAATTGAGTACTCAGCTCACATGGGTGGTAGGGAAGGATCTGTAGCCTGTGTGATTAAATTGTAAAACTCCCAGAGAGTGTTTTGAGCACTATGAGATAGTATATAAGCAGCATATGTTGCTTTAAGGCAATGAAATGAATGAGTGATCTCCAAAATGTTATGGCTTTGTACACCATGACATTAAAACTATAGTACCCCTTTTTTGCTGTAATGGCGAAACAAGATCAATCTGCTGATTACCACCCTGCTCTGTTGTATTTCTGGACTCCAACGTCCAGAATTCTCCAAGAATTTCCAATTCAGAATTCTGGGAGTTGAAGCACAAAAACACAAACCTGCAGACTTTTAGATCACACCTCTCTAGAGAAGACTTTGTTCACTTCCAATTCTGTTGTACTCTCAACACAGTGCTTCCTCAGCTCAGAGGGCACTCCCAAAGAGCTGCAACTCCTAGGAAACACTAAGGCACACAAGAAGACCACACAAACTGTTATTGGATTAAAGTCTTGTTTAAAGCACAACTGGATTCAAATGCCACTGTGTTCAAATCAAATGTGTGTATACTGTTTATAAAGAAAAATTAAAAAGAAACCAAGGACTATGTGAAAGAGAAATATGAAAGAGAGAGAAAGATGAGAGTGAGCCGTCCCCTCAAATACAAGTGTCGAAGAAAGAGGGAGAGAGAAAGGAAAAGGAAGGATTGGTTGTAAAAGAAATTGAAGGGAAGGAATTGAAGGAGAAAGAAGTAAATGTAAAAGTCTGTTTGGTAGCGGAAAGAAAAGGGAAAGAGGAGGAGGAGTTAACTCTACCAGTGTGGGAGGAGGATATAAAAGATAAGAGGAGAGTGGGAGTTTTCAGTATACCGCTGACTGAGATAAAGAAAGATGAAAGAAGGGAAAAAGAAGGAAAAGAGGAAGAGCTTAGATATGGAAGAACGTGAGGGTTATTAGAAGACTTTCCCAACTTAAGTGTAGGAGGATTATTACCTGATCCAGATAAAAAAGAAAAGAGGGTGACTGTAACAGAAACTCAAGAATAGACAGTGGTGGTTTTCCCTTGGGGGCAAGGTCACTGGAGGAGGGTGATCAGACCAGATTCGACTTTCAATCAGTTGCCATGCAAGGGAGACTGGGCCAGGCATCCTTGTTGCGGCACGATATGTGCAGTGAGGAGCGCTCCACTGAGGAAGCCCACAGACAAAGAACGGTTTGGACCAGACCCTTAATAAACTCTCCTAAGTTGCAGTTGGCATTTGTACCTTCTCCCTAAGAACAATTACCAGACCTTAGTTATTTTGATCCTGTTGAAGTCATTGTTGAATCACCGAATGTTAGTACAAATAAATCTGTTAACCATTCAAATGCATCTCCATGGTTATTTCCCACCAAAAAGGAGGAACTGCTTCAGTCTCCTAACAAACTCAATCACAGACTGCAAACAACAACTTTGTAAAAGCCCTGTGATACTATATTGAGGTGCTGAAGATTTTATTCCAAGAATACCCAAATGTCTTTGAGGTTTTTTTTTGCAATTTCACCTTCCACATAGGCATTAAATAAATTTTAAAATACAATGAAGTGCCCCAAAACAGTTTTAGTTCTCAGAAGTTTTAATACCACCTGCACTCCTATTCTTCAGAATTATACTTACCCTGTCTGTATGACCAGGAGCCATAGATAACATTTTTCCTTTTCTCCAGTCCCACACACAGATTGTATTTTTGGAATCCAAACCAACTGAAAGCAAACGCTGGAAGATCCCAGAATTTTTTTAAAAAAAAGAACAATAATATACATTAGTATTCAAGATGACAACATAATCCACACTAAATCAGATAAACCATAGATAGTAAGACTGAAATAATAATTCAAGTTAAAAACATTTTTAAAAGGTCAGTCAAGTACTACAGTCTTCCTGAAGATACATGTCAAGATCAACTGGACAACAGGGGAGGCTGTATTTATGTTATGGGGCTTACATCCTGTTTTGATATTATCTGCAGCATTTTCCAGTGGTGAAGTTCATAAAGAAACTCTAATATAGAAAAGCAGCTTTAAAGAGGGAGGAAAGGGAATCACTAACAAACATCCCAGTGCAGATGTAGCATCTCTACTGTGATGAATGACAAACAGGCTTCTTCTTCAGCTGCATTTGAAAATGAAATTTTAAGCAGGATTACAAACCATCGTTCAAAAAGACTATGTTGTTGTTATGTGCTGTCAAATCAGAATTGACTTATAGCAAGCTAAATTATATTTAAAAAGTGGCTTTACCAGTTCTACACCTCCAGTGAGCTTCCATGGCTGAGCAGAGATTCAAACTGAGGCCTCCAAGTCCTAGTCCATCACTCTATCCATTACATCAGAGTACTCCTCCACCCCAGACTAAAAAAAAAACTATAGCTAGTCTTTAATCAAAATGTTACATGCCATCAAATTAATTCTGATCTGTGATATAGAGAATTTAGAAGTGGTTTACCATTCCTTTCTTCTAGAGCCACCTTAAGATTGTGCTGCTTGCCCAAGGCAGCACAAGGTGGGTGTTCTCCTGGGACACACAGTAGGGAATCACACTTCCAACTTCTAACTCTTCAGCTAGATAGTTAACTCACTGAGCTATCAAGCCAGTCATAGTAAGCATTAATCTAGTTTATAATTAATAGAGATGTAATATTATACCATAGTAAAATTCATTTCACTTTGTTTAGTTGTGTGTACCCAAAACTGAAGTAGGTACTCTTTAATTACGTAGTAGCATTTTATCACTGACAGTGACATCGAAAAGCTACAAAGTAGGATTTTGGCTAATAAATACCGAAAGAGGGTTACATTTAGAATTTAAGGGTAAAATTAACATAACGTAAATGTCTCTCTCTATATATTACATCCACATTTTACACTGGAAGATTAAATGCTACCATAGCGGTTGATGGCAAAAATTGTTCAGCTTTACATCTCCATAGGTCTCTGAGGATGTAGCCTTGTGTCTAGATTCTTTATTTAAACAAGTTTTTGTTGTCATTCTAGTTAACAGAACAAAGCATACATTTTCAGGAAAAGGAAATACAGTAATCCTTACCTCATTATTTCATTTCTTCATCAGCTTCTATGCCAGTCCAAATTTTGTGTACATATCGTCCCTGCCAAGCAGATGGAAAGAGTACACAAATCCTTTTTGGTAATGTCATTCCATGTATACAAAGGGCTTGCCAGTGCTGTAATTCCCCCAACAGTTTTGAAAATAGCCCATATATAGTTATGATACATCACAACTTAATATTGAATTGACTTTATTTATTTTAAAGGTAGTTTATTTAAATACGGGTTGATTCTAACAGAGGTTGGCATAGAGAATTTTAAAGAAAATATGGAGGGAAAGAACAACAACAACAAAATCCCAGTTCCTTATTGATCCTCTAGGCCAGTCCAGAAACTGGCACCATTCCAAAACATTATTCTATACTACAAAACTGGGATTAGCACTCTCCAGTACTCTATAATATGTTCCTTCCAAAAGGGCTCTTCCTAAATTATATCAAAGCTATATAACTACAGTATAGTGCTTAGAGAATGAATGAAGCAATGCCAACCAGTGATTTACACTTGCAAATCATCATCTGTGATCTATTTGCTCAAAATTGTATACATCATTCTGTATATATTTTAAAATGTCTTCTATTCATATCTTCCAGGTATCCCTCTTTCCTTTCTCCTCATTCTTTTACAGACAGAAACAAATGAGCTTACTGTGCAAGCTAGCCCTTTATGTACAGAGCATGACATGAGACATCACTTAACAACACTTTTTGTACTCTCCATTCTGCTGCTTAGGTTATCACATATCCAAATATCTGGGCTGGCATAGAGGATCTTAGAGAATGACACACAAGCATACAAGAACATAAAAGAGCTCTGCTGGACTACACAAACCATCTATTGACTCCAGTGTCTTGCTTCCCACAGTGGCTAGCCACTTAACACTGGAAAATCCAGAAACAAGAGACGAAAGCAAAAGCCAGAAGCAACTAAACAGCAACCAGGACAAGGAGTGCCTCAACCCACTCTAAGGTTATAGTTGAAATAATACTTTTAGTAATTGTAGTGCTTTGGTATTGTAATTTCAGAATAAAGCCACCTTCCAATGATTTCCATTAGAATTAATACCAATTAACAACAATTAAAAGGGGAAAAAACACTTTAAAGCTACGTGATTAAACGTCATTGTTGGTACCCAAGTAAAAGATAGATTTTTAAAAAAATAAAATGTTACACTGATTCCTACCAGAGATATGCACCAGTATAAGCTCCTATCATTGTCCTTACTTATTTCATTGATATTCTACCATTGTACAATTCATTTCACTCAAAGTAGCATATACAAGCAAACATATCAGTGAAAAAGAATAAAACCTCACATTAAATAAAAAAACACTCCGAACTTTACAACTAAGTAGTAAAGGTAAAAGAATTTTTTCCAATCTGAAGAGAAATTAGAGTTAGGGATGAGATTTTTGGGTTTTTTGAACTACAAATACTGTAATTCTCCATTCTGGGAGTTCTTCCTACCATACAGATACCTTACAAAATCTAAAGGTGACGCAGCTGGGAGAAAGGTCTGACTTGGAAGGCTTTGAGGTTTAACTACACCCAGTTACACGTTAAACTGCATAAGTGGCAGAACAAGATTTCAGTCAATATTTGTTCAGAAATATTTTTTGTTGGTTAATACATTCAAAAAGTGTTTCATAAATGATTGTAATGAGGAACTGGATTGCCCAATTTTGTTTAACCAATGGAAGGTGACCTTACCTTCCACATTTTCTGTATCCATGGCTCTTAACATGTGACTTATCAAAAAAATTAAGTTTAGGACATGCTGGACACCACAATGCCTTTTTAGTATGAGTTAAGTCTTTAATTCTGGCACTGCAACTCATCTGACCCATTTCTTAAACATACACTCTGCTCATGTTCAGTCATAAGTTATTTTCAGGGAGGAGTTGTGCTAAGTTTGACATGAATGACTCCCTGACTTTTGTCAACACTTTCAAATTATTTGCTTGAAACCAGCTTTCAATTGCTTTTACAAGACCAATTGTAGGCAGGAATCCTTCCCTTTTGTGCCATCTCTATGCTCTATACCCTTTTCATTCTACCACCCCATCAATGCAGAACTTCAAGTACAAATTTGACATTGCATACAGTGGTGCCTCGCTAGACGATGATAATCCGTTCCACTGAAATCGCTGTTTAGCGAAATCATTGTCTAGCAAAAAGCATTTCCCCATTGGAATGCCCTGAAACCTGTTTAATGCGTTCCAAAGGGGAAGAATCGTCGTTGTCTAGCGAAGATCGGCCATAGGAAAGCCGCTTTACGAACCGCCCACCAGCTGTTTAAATAGCTGTCTTGCGAAGCTTAGGTCCCGAAAACACCCGTTTCGCGAGCACGGAGAGAGCTGTCAAAATCATTGCCTAGTGAAAACTGGTTTGTGAAGCAGGGACCAAACATTGTCCAGCAAAATTCCCCCATAGGAATCACTATGGGGGAACCGCAAAAAGTTAATGTCTAGCGAAAAACCTGTCATGCGGGGTAACTGTCTAGCAAGGCACCACCGTATGTGCTTCATAATGCCTGACTAATTCCAGTGAGAGGTAGCTGATCACCTTAAAAATAATGCACATTTTTGTTAAAAGCAACAACTTTAGTAAAAACCTGTAATTTCTGGCACTGAGCTTCCTGAATTCTATAAATATTGAGATCAGTTTTGTGAAAAATCACTCACCTGAATAGCTAACATGAATAAGAACCAATACCAGATGAATGGGCAAAAAAGTTAGTACTTTTTCTTTCATATTGCCACCAATTTGTTTATTTATTTATTTAACTGCTTTTTACCAAATAGAATTTCACAATTAATTAAAAGTATACTCTTACTCAGTTAAAGGCAAAATTGGATATTATATTTAAATGAATTATAACAAGATTAGAAACCGCCTTATAAACTGCTGAATAACTAATATAGATATGCTTAGGCAGACTTATAAAAAAATTTGTCCTTTGGAGCCAATTTTTTCCCACTTACATATTTTTTATTTATTTGCGAAGAACATTCCTGCCATGAGTTATGTATAAATCTCATTTATCCCAAGATCACTTTTGTATGTGATTGAAGGCAATTTTAAAAACACCTTTCCTTTACAAATACAGTAGATTGCACTGACTGGGGCAAGTGACAAGAGGTGTGTGCCTTCAGATGCCTCAAGATAGTTCTGTAGTATCCAGCTTTTTCAGTAGAGGTTAGAAAATCACACAGATGCTATCAATCTGCTATTTGTTCATCTCAGAATGAATCATGACAAGTTTTAACTATGTGTGTGCTTAACATTGGATTTTTTTTTAGTTTTGACTCGATGATTGTATTAATTAAATTTGCATCCAACTGTGCCACTGATACAGTATGACCTTTAACAGATGAGCTAATAAGGTCCTGTCCACACTGTGAAATTTGATGCGATCCAGCAGGTGTTTAAAAGGTCCTTATCTTCGGTACCCGTCTGGGAAGAGCTATTTTGCATCTCAGTGAATGATCCCAAAAAGACTGTATGCCCTAGCCCTGTCCCAGAAAGATACGGGCCAGATGTTAAAGTGGAAGGATGGATAGTTCAAAGTAGAAACACAAGCTGAAAAGGTCTTCTTTTCTGTGCCAAACAGTGCTGTCATGCAACTATATATCATAACTATATACCAGTGTGGACAGGATCTCTGTCTCAACAAACAGCAGACTTGCTATGCCTTAAAAGCCCTACTTCACTATTAAACCATTAAGTTCAATACATTTTAGAATCTAAAACAATTTAAGGAATATCTTTTGGCCCCAAAGCCAAACAGAATTTCAGAGAGGTTCTCAGAGGTTGTGTATTGGGGGGGGGGGGGGGGGGAAAAACAAAAGGCTGGGCCAAAATAGCACTGTATGTTCTTAACATTAAATTTAAGAATATTTCAATAAAATTAAGTAGAAAGGTAAACATCTGAATTAATTCTTTATCTGATTGCTATCTGTACTGATTTACACAAAAAGTGTACATCATGCAGTGATGAGATGAGGATATAGAACACATACACCTACCTGACCATCTACATCAAATGCCAAGCAAGCTATACCATGTGTATGAACATCTTTCATTATTGATACAGTCTGCACAGTGTATGAATCCCAAACACAGATATACGGCTCTTTTCCAACTTGACCTGTCGCCACCAAAACTCGCTCAGGATGCAAAGCAAGACTTGAAAAAACAGAAACATAAAAAAAATTAATACAAAAAATTGAATACTATGCAGTAGTCAGAATACCAGTAAACCTTTTATATATACATGTACATATACATATATATTCATATAGAGCAGCTGAACATTTTAACATGCTTGGATACCATGCAACTAAAAAACAACTTTTCTTTTCATTTACCCACTTAGCATGAGTTCTCGTATGATTTTTTTGTAGCCAGAGATAAGCACAGAGCAAGACAAGATAGCATTTCTCTACCTCTGAATTTCTTATGCATAAAATTCTTATGTACAAAAGTAAATCTGGGCAAAATCCAATGATACAAAAGCATACTTGCACTCATGAAATGAGATTTTCACCTCCACTGAACCTCTTGGGGGTCTTGCACAGCATAGGAATGATTTCATGGGTCTTAGGAACAGTAGAAGGGAACAGTAATTTTCGTTTTCCAATTCTGGCCTCATAGGCCATTATGCCAGCAAGAAATACTAAGTGGATACAATCCTAAGTAATCGGACACATGGTCAGAACTCCTGTACTCTGAAGATGCAGGCTACAGAGACTGGTGAAATGTTAGGAAGAACAACCTTTAGAACACGGCCAAAGAGCCTGAAAAACCCAACAACCATCAGATCTCAGCTGTGAAAGCCTTTGAGAATACATTAATCAGACACAGCTGAAGAAGTGGAAAAAAGAAGGGGGAAGGAACCAGGTCATTGGGACTGATAGCTTTATTTTTCATTTTCTCTCTCTCTTGTTCCATGCCCGGGGTGCTAATAGCAGTCTAAATATAGAATGGAAAACTAATTTTGACTTCTAAGATGACTTACTGATGAAAGTAAGCAGTAAACCATTAAACTTAGGTGAACAACCCTCTGTGTGGATCATATAAGAATTAAAGAGGAAAAAAGGAAATGAAAACTAGCCTCTCTAATTAAAATATAACTAGAATATATGACCTACTTTCAAGAACAGGCAGCTGGGATGTTTGAAGTCTCCAGGCAAGATTAATTATTTGAAAAGTATTATATACCCTACCTACAATTAAAAATCTCTATTGTGTAAGGTGGCAAAGCTACCAGTACTGACAAGATATTTTCAAAGGAACTGCTTATTATTTTCACATGCAAACACAAAATGGTTTACCCCATTAAAGAAATTGTTTTGATTGCACATTAGTTTTCTTACATTTCAGTTAAATATTTCTCTGTTGTTACAAATGGCAATAGGTTAAGTGATTAGTACTGTATCACAAAAGCACAGAAGTAGAAAAAATGTCCACTTGTCAATTTCCTCAAAGGCAAAACTCCATAGACACCATCCTTCTACAGATTAAATAAAGTACATAAAACAATACAATTTGCCACAAGGAAATAGCAGGAGTGAACTTCAATGGACAAGATGCAACATAGAGTGGTGCTCAGAAACATACTGGAACAGATGAGTCAAGAAAATCAACCACCGCACACCACTTATGGGAAAAACAGCGGGGGGGGGGGAATCCAAGGTGCAAGCCAGACTGGAAGAGAATTTGAAAAACACAGCTGCGTTTAACACGTTATTTGATTACGTGACTTGTTGTTTTACTTTTTTTACTTTTTAAAGTAGTCATAGTAGTCAGTGCAAGCAAACAAAAACCAAGAAACAAAAAAGTCCTAGCACCTTATAGACACATACACACTCACTCTCTCTCTCTTAAAAATACTGTCAAGTAATAAACATAAGTGGCAGAAAACTCAGAGTGCCACAACTGAACAAACACTACAGTTTTTGACTGAGTATATTCTATGGTGGTGAATAGAGATGGGGGTATTCATAGTCGTATACGAATATCCCCTCACAGGTGCAGATAATGAGGGTCTGCCCCCTATGGCCAGACCGACCACTCATCATTCTGTCACTGCCACAGGCTCCATGCTCCCTTCCTATCGCTCCAGAGCTCACAGTGAATTAGCCCCTCCTGCCAGAAGGCAGGATGACGAGCCTCTTTGCCAAGTCGAAAAGTGGCTAATCCATTGTGAGCTCCAGAGTAATAGGAAGGGAGCACAGAGCCCGCAAAAACGGCAGAATGGTGAGTGGTTGGTCTGGCCCCATGGGGCTGAACTCTTGTTATCTGCACCTGTGGGGAGGATATTCGAATTTGTAAATGAATATGAATACCCCCATCTCTAGTGATGAACAAACAGCACTGCAACGTGAATGCAGTTTTATTGAGTCTGATGAACTTGATAAATTCACTTGTGGCATTGCCAGTTTCTATATCTATACCCCTGATCATATGTACCAGAGTCTGCAAGTCCTTTTACTGTGTGGAACTATGGATTGTTCTGAAAGAAATGGGTGTGTCTCAACACTTTATTGTCCTGATTGTAGACAAGAAGCTACCATTAGGGCAGAATATAGAAAGACAGAATGGTTTCCTCTAGGTACAGTAAAGGTGTCAGACAAAGGTGAAGTTTATCCCCTTATCTGTTCAATCTATATGCATAACATAGCATACAGAAAGCCAAACTGGATGCAGATGAAGAAAGAGTGAAAATTGGTGGAAGAAACATCAATAATATATCAGATGACATATTACTGGCAGAAAGCAGCAATGACTTAAAACAACTTTTCATGAAAGTGAAAGAAGAAAGTGCCAAGGTAGGACTGCAGTTGAACACAAAGACGACAAAAATCATGACTACAGAAGGACTACACAACTTTAGGGTTGATAAAGAAGAAACTGAAAGAGTGATTACTTGGTTCATTATCAATCCAAATGGAAATTGAAGTCAAGAAATCAGATGGAGAGTGGAAAGGGCTGCAATGAAGGAATTAGAAAAGATAATCAAGTGTAAGGTTGTGTTAATGGTGACTATAACCAAGAGCACCCACACTCTTGTATTTCCAATCACCATATACAGTGGTGCCTCAACTTACGAACGTCCCAACTTACGACCATTTCGAGTTATGACCAGCTCCGGCTGCAAAATTTTGCTTCGACTTGCGGCTGAAGCTTCGAGTTGAAACCAGAAAAAGGCAGGGGAAAAAGGTGGGGAATTCAAATTTGCTAACCATTGGTAGGCGAAGAGGCTGCTTCTCTATAGCTCTTTTGCCCCAACGGTTAGAATGAGTACATCGGAGGAGGCTTGGGACTGCCTGGTAAGGTAAGGTGCTGCTTTCTGCTTTTTAAATACTGTTCTTGGTGGGTTTTGCAGGGTGGGTCCGGGCTGGGGGGGTTATGTTTCTGTGCTGTGTTGTTGGTTTTTGGGGGGCGGTTGCAGCCCCAGTGCCTTCCGATGGGGCTTGCTCCATTGTTAATTTTTTGTTCTGTTTGGTTTTTTTTAAGCCCCAGAGCTTTTGGGGGTTGCTGGGGTTTTTTTTTTCAGCCCCAGTGCCTTCTGATGGGGCTTGCTCCATTGTTTATTTTTGGCTTTTTTTTTAAGCACCAGCGCCTTTGGGGGCTTGCACTGTTGTTTAGTTTTTGTGTTGTTTTTTTAAAGCCCCAGCACCTTCGGGGCTTGCTTCCTTGTTTATTTTTGGTTTTGTTTGTTTGCTTGATTTTTGTTGCCCCAGCGCGTTCCTATGGGGCTTGCAGTGTTTTTTTCTGTGTGTTTTTGGGGTTGTTGGGATTATTCTGGAACAGATTAATCGCGTTCCAATGCATTTCAATGGGAAACGGTGCTTTGACTTATGACCATTTCAAGTTATGTCCATCTTCTGGAACGGATTATGGTCGTAAGTTGAGGCACCACTGTACAGATGTTAAAGCTGTACAATAAAGAAAGCTGACAGGAAAAACCTGATTTGTTTGAAATATGGTGCTACAGGAGAGCTTTGAAGATATCCTGGACTGCTAGAAAGATGAACAAGTATGTACTGCAGCAAATCATACCTGAACTATTTCTGAAGGCAAAAATGATGAGACTCAGACTGTCCTACATAGGGCATATCATGAGAAGGCAAGATTATCTGAAATAGACAATAATGGTTAGGAAAGTTTGAGGGAAGCAGGAAAAAAGGAAGACCAAATATGAGATGAACTGATTTCCCAAACCAACCCACAGTTTGAGGTTAAAAGAGCTAAGCAGGGCTGCTGAGGAAAGGCCATTCTGGAGATCTCTAATTCATAGTGTTACCAAAAGTTAGAGATGACTTGAAAGCACATAATAACAATCCTTAGTCAGACTGTGGGTGAGGATGTCATTGTCCAAGATCCTGAACTTGATCAACTGTAGCTCCAGTCAAGAAAGAAGCTTCAATCTCTCTCTCTGGCACCACTGATTCTAGATCCCATACTCAACCTCCACCCAAACTCTAAAGATATGCCCATGCCTCTGGATGCAGAGGAACAGAACATCAGTTGCTGTGTAGACCACGAAACTCTGTGAAGTCCCACCATTTAAAAGAAGTTTATAACTTGCACTAAAGTACAATGACTATTTAAATTATTAAACTAATGTTGTTAAGAAGAACATCCTTTACTCTATTGCTTCTTCCCTGTCTCAATCTCTCTCTCAGACTTTTCTCAAATCCCAGATTCCAAACCATTCTCTCCCACATCTCTCCCCACAGACTGCTCTATATCAGACTCAAGACTGATTTATGTAACACATACACTCCTCCTCATCTACTTTCTCTCCCAGCCAATCAGAAATATTCTTACCAACGTTCCATGCTCCTCACTCAATCCCTCCCATCACATATTTATCAAACCATATAAACAATATATTGAAATGTGATTGTACATCACAGTTTCCAAATAACCTGAACAGCTTTAAACAGAATTGGACAAATTTGTGGGGCATAAGGGTATCAGCAGACACTACCATGTTTCCCAGAAAATGAGAAAGGATCTTATATTATGGTTGTTGTGGGTTTTTCTGGCTCTTTGGCCGTGTTCTGAAGGTTGTTCTTCCTAACGTTTCGCCAGTCTCTGTGGCCGGCATCTTCAGAGGACAGCACTCTGGTCTTATATTATTTTTTGTCCAAAAATACATTAGGGCTTATTTTCAG